GTGTCAAAATTCAGAGCATAGTTCCATCCAAAATGGTGGGCCGTTTATGTTTTCCCTAATGACCAACTGTATGTTGATGCTTCCAAATAGGATATATTTAAGAGCAGTGGTTAGAATGCAGCACTGCAGGCTACTTCTGCTGCCTGCCGGCTGCCTGCAGTTAGGCAGTTTGAGTCTCACCGGCTCAAGGTTGACTCAGCCTTCTGTCCTTCTGAGGTCAGTAAAATGAGGACCCAGATGGTTGGGGGCAATAGGCTGGCTCTGTAAACTGCTTAGAGAGGGCTGTAAAGTACTATGAAGCAGTATATAAGTCTAAGTCCGTGATGGTGAACCTATGGTATGCGTGCCTGCAACAGGTGGCATGCAGAGCAATTTGTGCTGGCACGCGAGCTGCAGGCAAACCTACCTCACTGCGCATGTGTGCGCCTCACAGCTGATTTTCAGCGGGTTTGAGGCCTTTTTCGGCCTCCCAGAGTCTTGAGGAAGGCTTCGGCAGACTTCCGCAGGCTTTGCGGGCCAAAAACGAGCCCTGTTTTGTCACTTCCTGTTTTTCCGAGAATATTGGAAGTGACCAAACGGAGCTAGTTTTCGGCCTGCAAAGCCTGCAGAAGCCTTCCTCAAGCCTCTGGGAGGCCGAAAAAGGCCTCAAACTGGCAGAAAAATCAGTTGTGAAGTGCAGTGCTGGTAAGCGGGCAGCGGGGGGTGGGGTGGGGATGAAATGTGCATCCGTTCTGGGTGCTGGCCCGCGAGCACGAGTGTGCAAGCGCATGCACAATTTTTGACACAGGAGCCCGAAAAGGTTCGCCGCCACTGGTCTAAGTGCTATTTCTATTGCTATTTATTTGACTCAATCTGAGCCCTGCCTGACTGCAAACTGAGTCTTTTCTTACACAGGCAGAAGTTCTAACTTCCGTTGTTTAGAACAGGCGTCCCCAACCCTGTCAAGAGTATATTCATGAGCTGGAAAGGAGCTCTTAGTAACAAGGTCAGCCAGTGAGAGCTGAGTTGAGGGCTGAAACTTAAAGAGAGAATCTGGGCGTGCTTTCTCTCTGTTCTGTGCTCAGCTCTAAATTGAAAGAGAAACCAACTAACTAGCTTGCTTGTCTGCAGAAGTTGAGTTGCTGCTCCACTCTGAACCTGTAACATGCCTGCTTCTGTTTGAGTTTGCTCCATGTTGGAGAAATCTACAACTGGTATTGTAAAATTTACTTTTATGTGTTTATAAAAGAAGTTAAATTCTGAAGCCCCAGCCATCTGTGTTTACTTTTCTGGTGCTGAATTTACGCTGCGATATTCTGAACAAAACCCCAGTCTGTGGACTGGCACCAGGCCGCGGCATGCCAGCAACTGGGCCGCCGCAAACAAGCAAAGACCCATCCGCAGGATGCAGGCAGCACCAAAACTATACCCCTTATGGTCCACTGAAAAACCTTTCTCCACAGAACTGGTCCCTGGTACCCAAAAGGCTGGCTTAGGACATGCTGACTGGGGAATTCTGGGAGTTGAAGTGCACACATATTTAACGGCTGCTGAAGTTGAGAAATACTGCCTGGGCCACCATATTATGGACCAGTTACAGTGTCAAGCCCGAAGTTGGCATATGTGTAGCCATTTTAGTTAGGCTTAGTATATATTCTTTTTCTTACTTTCTCTGTGGCAGTCATGGGGGGAAGGGTTTCGGGCTTGCCACATTCCTAAGGGGGGAGGAGTGGAGATAGAAATTGTTTAGGCTAGGTGATTCTTCTTCCCGTGGGAAATGAGCTGTCTGTGTTTGGGCCCCTTGAGGTGGAGATTTGTGACATCAAGCAACGTTGAATTACTTCTATTGGAGAATGTGGGTTTGTTTGGGGGTTATTTCTAACTTCTAATATTGTGGGGTAATTCCGGGTTGTGTCAGATCCGGAATTACCATGGACTTTGCCAATTTGATGCTTTCCTAAATAAAAGAAATTGTCTTGGAAGATGGACTTTGTTCTTTTCTTTTTAAATGGATTTCATCACTTGGAAACCTTTGGGGGGGGGGATCTGAAGACTGCCTTGTGTGGAGTGCATTGCAAAGGATGCTATTTTGGTCACGCGTGTGATAATGTCATTACAGACAGGTCATCATTTACACATCCCAGTGGCACCCTCTCTGAATTACCAAGCTCAGGAAACTCCAATTAATTAGTAAGTTAGTAATTTAGGGAATTAATCCCACAAGATTTTGCTGTGTAATAAACTGGCCAACTCCCCATCCCATTCTCTCCACGCCCTCCTGCCAATCACCATTATCCTCCCCCTCCCCCGTTCTCATCCCAAAGGTGCTTTTTTCAAAAAGGCAGCTGGACTTCCTTTTCCCTTGAAGACATTTCGCTTCTCCTCCAGGAAGCTTCTTATATTCCTTGCAGTCGTCTGGTCGTTAGCGCTCTTTCTGAGAATCGTGGAGGCCACTCGGAGGTTTATTATCTGCGCCCTCAGGGGTGGTGGAAGCAAAAGATCTTCAAGGAAACTCAAAGTCCAATTGCCTTTTGAAAAAAATCACCTTTGGGACAACCACTGTGACCTGGGTGGGTGACTTGAGAATCTCCATCGACACTCTGTTCATGCTTGGGATCCTGAAGCGGTTTCGTCCATTTAATAACAAATGTCATGAAATTCACTTGCTTGCTTTACTTGGACTTGCCGGAGTAGAGTAAGAATGTTCTAGGATGACAATGTCGTTCTGGGAGGACAAGACGTCGGCATCGCCCTCGCCAACCTCCGGACGAGTACTTGGCTCAGGATCGGGGGGATTCCGTCGGGCGCAACGCAGCCCCTCTTCTGGGCTTTTCTTTTGAGCCCTCTGCAAAGGAAAGTGGGGGCGGGGGAGGGGAAAGGCATTTTGTTAGGCAAAGAGAAGAAATGCTGCTAGGTCCTCAGCTTATGACCTTTTCAATGCTGCTAGTCTTCAACTTACGACTGGCTAAACACTTCCAGTCCTCGACACGATGACCTGCTTAATAACCAGAATGGCCCTATTGCTGTTGTGGTTAGCTGGCAGCAGGTGCGGACGGCTGAGGAGAGCGAGGACTTAGATGAGGGTCCAGGACCATTAGGGAGTGGACTGCTGCCTTCAGAGATTGTGGGGGCTGGCAGCAGCGATGAGGAGGTTGCCGAGGAGCCTGTGCCAAGTGCGCGTGCGTGCAGGATTGCTCGCAGGAAACAGCAACAGCACGGGCGACTCGGGAGTAAGGCTGGAAGGTAATGGCCCCTCCTTCAAGAAGATAAAAGCCAGCCATGAAGCGAACGTTCTTTGCAGGAAGCAACGACACTTTGAAACTCAGCCTCGTGGACATTATAGTTGGTGTTTGAAAACTCTTGTAAACTATTTCTTATCTGTGGGTTTTTGGCAGCCTTGAAAAACAATTTGACAAGGCTCTTTCTTGCCTTTTATCTGTGAAGAAACAGGATTCATACATGAAACCTTAAAAGGTGGGGGCTGCTGCCTTTGTCTGGTGTTTGCTCTCTTGAAAACCAGGTTGGGTCAGAACAATTTCCAAGTTCAATTGCGGAATTAAGATTATGCCGGTTGTTAAGCAGTACATCCTGTGAGCCACCTGATTTCATGCCTCTTTTTGCAGTGGTTGTTAAGTGAAGAGTTATGGTCATTAAGCGAACCCATTGCCAATACAATGGGTACTTTTTTTTTGCCTAAGGATTACTTACAGCTGTTTGTTTAGTGACTATAACACAGCCCGGGAAAAAAGGGACTGCCAACCATTTTTCACACTTACGACCGTCGCAGTATCCCCACGGTCACGGGATCAAAGTTAGGGACAGCTTGACAACTGACTCATTTTTATGATGGTTGCAGTGTCCCACAATCCCATGATCCCCTTTTACGACTTTCTGATAAGCAAAGCCAATGGGGAAGCCAGATTCACTTAACAACTGTGTTACTCACTTAATAACTGCAGTGAGTCACTTGGCAATTGTGACAAGAAAGGTCGTAAAATGGGAACGGGGGGGGGGGGGGAAGAATCACTTAACAAATGACTTGCTTGGCAATGGAAATTTGGGGTTCAGTTACGGTCCTAAGCCGTGAACTACCTATATTAACTTTGAAGTTTGAAGTTATTTTACAATGTTTGAAGTTATTTTACAATGTTTGAA